GCTTTACCGCACCGTTGTGACGAAAAGGGAGCTGAGCCAGAAGGCAAAGCTCTCTGTCTACCGGGCCATTTTCGTTCCTACCCTCACCTATGGTCATGAAGGATGGGTCATGACCGAAAGAACGAGATCGCGGATACAAGCGGCCGAGATGGGTTTTCTCCGCAGGGTGGCTGGTGTCTCCCTTAGGGATAAGGTGAGAAGTTCGGTCATCAGGGAGGGACTCGGAGTTGAGCCGCTCCTCCTTTGCGTCGAAAGGAGCCAGTTGAGGTGGTTCGGGCACCTAGTTAGGATGCCACTTGGGCGCCTCCCTAGGGAGGTGTTCCAGGCACGTCCAGCTGGGAAGAGACCAAGGGGTAGACCTAGGACCAGGTGGAGGGATTATATCTCTTCGCTGGCCTGGGAGCGCCTTGGGATCCCCCAGTCAGAGCTGGTTGATGTCGCCAGGGAAAATAAAGTTTGGGGCTCTCTGCTGGAACTGCTACCCCCGCGACCCGACCACGGATAAGCGGGAGAAGATGGATGGATGGATGGAATTTTTGAATTAAGAGACTAGGTTTTTTCTTTTTATTTAGTCAAATCTAAATGTTGGATTTTAAGTATGATAACTCAATGACTGTCCACCGTGACAATACTTACTCTATATATCAAATTCAGTTAATGATTACTCAATGAGCAAAAAAAATAATTATTTAACATATTATAAATTCACACTGCCGAGGCTGGTCTCGAACCCCGACCTCCTGCATGAAGGAGCGAATCTTTTTTTTTTTTTTTTTTTTTTATTATAATAGTTTAAAAAACACAAGTACACAGTTACATTTTAAAAACTCTCATTATTTTCCCCCTTACCAGTCCTCAAAAAAGAAGGACCCCAAGGCTTATCCAATCATTATGACACATTTTCCCTCTTACAGGTCCCCAAATCATAAGAAAACCCCATTGCTTCCACCCAAATCAAAACTACCTAATCATGCTCCCATTCTCCCCTCTCTCCACCTTACCCCGTATCCTCTTAATCATCTTTGTTTTCCTCATTAACCAATACTCCTCCCACTCTTCCAATGTTTCCCCCTCTTCCAATTCATATTTTCTTCGTAAAACCCACATTCCATGGTCCTCATCTTCAGTCTCTTCCCACTCACCCTTCTCATTCATCACCCCTATGTTCACTTTAGCTCTCTCCAAACCCTTCTTTCTCAACCTCTCATTCTCCCTCCCTCTCCCCTTCACCCTAATCTCACCCTCAGTCTCACTCTGCCTCCCCTCTCTAACCTCTTCCTCCTTCCTATCACCCCCTCCCTTCCCCCCCTTGTCTGACTCAATCTCCTCAACCTTTCCCTCCTCTATTTTCTTCTCATCCTCTCTCTCTTTCTCTCTCTCTCCTACTCTTCCCTCCTCCATTTCTTCCTTCATCCTCATCATTTCTAACTGCTCCTCCTCCCTCTGTCTCTGCTCTTGCTCCTCCTTATCCTCTATGTATTCACTTCTTTGTTCTATTTCTTCCATCTCCACCTCATTCCCACCTCCTCCTCCTTCAACCTCCTTTCCATTCCCCTTCATCCTCTTTATATATTTCCTCCCACTTGTTGCACCATCAATCCCACACACAGACCCTTCATCAACACCACCACCATCACCTTCATCATCATCATCATCACTTTTCCCCTCACCATCACCATTACTTCCCCCCTCTCGTTGTCTTTTCCTTTCTTCTTCACCCTCTCCACCCACACCCTCACAACCATCTGTTCTCCCCTCATCACATTTGCCAGCTCCGCCAGATATTCCACATCCTCCGCACCATCCTCCTTTCCTTTTACACTCGTTTTCTCCTTTTTTCCATTCTTTATCTCCTTCTCCTTCTCCTTTATCGATCCTTCATCGATTCCCCCGTCAATTTTTTCTTTTCCCCTTCTCTTTCCCGATTTATCTCCACTTTCCCCATCTTTCTCCACATCGCCGCTTCTCATTTCCGGGTTCGCTTCGTCGGCCTTTGGTTTCCATCCGGACGGCCCTTCCCCTGGATTCAGTTTATCCTCTCCTTCTCTCTTTAGTTGTGTCTCTTCCATTTTATCCAGATGAACCATCATTTTTCTTCCCTTCTTAATCTTTTCCTCCTTCTCCTCCCCCGCTTTCATGCTGCCAGCTGTAGCTGCTGTAGCAGCTAACGCGGAGGCCGGCGCCTTCTCACCGGTTTTTAAAACTTCCAATCTTTCTCTTTCTTCCTCTCCCTCCTCCACAGTTTTGTCCTTTATCACCTTCTCATTCCTCTTATCCTTTCCCACCTTCTTTCTTCCGATTATCTCCTCTTTCTCCGCCGTTAATTTCTTCCTCCTCTCCACTTCCGCATTCTCCACGTCAGCTGTCAGCATTCCAGAATGCACGTCTTTTCCATCACATTTCTCCGGCTTCCCAGCCATCTTTTTTCTTTTTCTCTGTTTTCCCCCGACAGCTGTACTGTCAGGGGGGGGTTTCGTCCAGACAAAACCCCCTGATTTCAGCTCAAAAGCTACTTTTTCTCCGGATTCCTCCCAAACATTTGGGCACCTCTTCCTGTTCACAGCCGTCAAATCGCCCCTAGCGTCTCAGGGTGGTATGGCCGTAAGCAAAGAGTTTGGAGGGATAATGGCTTATTAGAGCAGAGAGAATCTGTAGTTTGGGTGCTGAAAGGCGGACTGCCAAACCTCCATGTCGATACCCAGCAGCAGCTGTGTGTTCTGCAGGGGTCCCCAGGCCTGCCTGTGAGCCTGTCTCCCCCTCTCCAGCACCTGGGAGCTCTCCGGGGCCCTGTAGAGGCCTTTTCAGGCTTCTCTCTGCACCCTTTTTCCCCCTACACAAATGACTTTTAAATGGATACTTTTGGATGTAAATGGTCCACTGTGTCGTGGCTATGGGTCTCTGAAACAATCAGGCACACTGTTAGCAGAGTTTAATCCGATTTGTAGCACTCTTTTCCCCGCAGAAACTAGTTTAAATCACCGTTGTCACTATTGTGGGGATGTAGGAATGTACCTGTGTGTGTGTGTGTGTTGCGGAGCTTCCCTGCACGTTAAATCCATTGATTTGCCTTTTCAAAGGGTGTTTTCGACTGTTTTAAAAACAGCTTTCTGCCCTGGAAATGATTTCCAATCATTATTACCGTCATGGAGGGGCTGCAGGAACACTTTACCCGCCTTGTAAACACTTTTCCCTGGGTAAAACAATCAATGTATTTCCGCCTGCTTTCCATCAGCACCCGACAGTCATTTCAAACGGTTTTCAATCGTTTTTAGCTGCTTAGTCCGTCATTTGGGGCTCTGTGAGCCGCCACAGAGAGGTGCTTTTCCCGGTGTATTTCATGGAAGTCTGAAACAGCCTGTGTCCCTGTATTCACATCACTTTTACCCAGCTTCCAGACACTAATTACGGCGTGATTTAGCATTGTGCATGGCCCTGGACCCAGCTCTCATCTCCTTGCACCCAGCTCTCTCCTCCTTGCAAGTGCTGCTTCACAGCATGTGAGGTGCTGGAGAGCGCTCTCTGCCTGGGTGACAGCCTGCTGGACCTCTCACATGACTTGTACCCAGCTTCCAGACACTAATTACGGCGTGATTTAGCATTGTGCATGGCCCTGGACCCAGCTCTCATCTCCTTGCAAGTGCTGCTTCACAGCATGTGAGGTGCTGGAGAGCGCTCTCTGCCTGGGTGACAGCCTGCACGGCCTCTCACATGACTCTTACCCAGCTTCCAGACACTAAATACGGCGTGATTTAACCATGTGCATGGCCCTGTATCCAGCTCTCTCCTCCTTGCAAGTGCTGCTTCACAGCATGTGAGGTGCTGGAGAGCGCTCTCTGCCTGGGTGACAGCCTGCTGGTACTCTCACATGACTTGTACCCAGCTTCCAGACACTAATTACGGCGTGATTTAACCATGTGCATGGCCCTGTATCCAGCTTTCTCCTCCTTGCAAGTGCTGCTTCACAGCATGTGAGGTGCTGGAGAGCGCTCTCTGCCTGGGTGACAGCCTGCTGGTACTCTCACATGACTTTTACCCAGCTTCCAGACACTAATTACGGCGTGATTTAGCATTGTGCATGGCCCTGGACCCAGCTCTCATCTCCTTGCAAGTGCTGCTTCACAGCATGTGAGGTGCTGGAGAGCGCTCTCTGCCTGGGTGACAGCCAGTCATGTGTTTCTTTATGAAAGCCATACTTGTTAGGAATAAAACAGTCATTATCCCATGACATCCTCAGAACTAGCTCACCAACAACGCCTAACTGTCTTCATACCCCCCCCAATCATCTCTGAACTTTTATTCACCCGAAGTAAGCTCACCCTTAGTCTAAAAGGACCATTGTCTCTCTTAACTGTGTGACTAAATTCTCAAGGCCTGCAGGATGCGCATAATTAACTTAGAACGAATTTAGCCACTATATCTAATGGTTAACCAAGAAAAACACTCAAAAGGGTAATCTTTTCACTCAAAACAGAACTCACAAGTAATTCTGCATTTTACCCCTCAAAAATAGCCTAAAGCACCCTTTTGATGAAAAGGGTAAAAGTGAAAGAAAAAGACTATTGCGCTAATCTACTTTAAAGAAAAAGGGAACATTGTTTCAGGAATCTATAAAAAACCTCTCTATATTTAAGAGGAAAAATGTATTTTGTTCCTTCAACTATTAATACACAGGAATGTATATACCCACACATATATTTAGGGATAACATGATGCAATACACCTCTTATATATTGGTGAGATTAAAATGAATATACCAAAAATATGCTGCATCACATCTTCTGCATAATTCTCTTCATAAACTTCCACAACACACACACACACACACACACACACGCACACACACACACACACACACATATCACAATTGACACTAAATATTGATTTACTTGATGGTAATAAAAGGTGCAAACTACACAGTACAATATTATTGCTGTTGCATAAAAAAAGAATATAACAGGAGGGTTAATGATTATCTTTGCGCTTATGTCTTTGTATTGTAGATGGGTGAAGTCTCTGAGAACGAACAAGATGTCTCTGACAACGACATTACACTACCTAAAAAACGTGAGACAGTTTGTAGTGTTCATACAAGAGACTCCACCTCGTGCCTCAGCAAGACGAATCTGAGGAGGATCGTAAGGGAGCTGAAGGCCTCCATCAAGTCCTGGGTGCGCCCGGTGGTCCTCCATCAGATGAGGGTGAAGGGGAAGAAGGATGCCACCATGCACTCCATGAAGGAGCTCCAGGAGTGCCGCCGATTGGCACTAGTGGCCATCCCCAAACTCCTATGTACGTTATAAAACATTTGTTATAATTAACAGGGTGATGTAGCAATTCAAATAAATGGATGAAAGAATACATATTTTATTTCCCTTGTCATTGCAGCTCAACTGGAAAAGCGCCACACCTACTTGGACCAGTGTAGCCTCTTCGGGTACGTCACTGCCTACCTGGCCTCACTGTACGGTCACCGGCTTGGAGTGTTCCTAAACATGACTGATGAGCAGGTCAGCCAGGCGGTGTACGAACCCGAGGGCAATGACTACCTCATCAAAGTAAACACTTGATTTCTACTATTTTTTTCAAAGTATATTCAAGGCACATTCCTTGTATGTGTAAACTTAATTGTGATTCTGATTCGGAATAGGTGGAAGACCATAAAACAAATGAGAGCTTCGGCACAGCCAAGCTGCTGCTCAGCGACAAGGAATACGGCTGGTTCCTGGCAATCATCCGCCTAAAAAGGAAGTGGGCGAAAGGTGTTAAACTGTCAAAGTATGTCTTTCACAACACAACCTTCTCGGCGGACAAGAACCTGACTAAATATGTGAAGCGCGCCTGGTCGGACATGAAGTTGAGGGGCGAAGCGACCTTCACCACTCTGAGGACCGCGGTGGCGACCTTTGTAAGTGAAATTACACTAATGTAATACTGTAACTGATCTACTGTGCTCACTTTTACCTCACCCAAACTTTGCATTCTGCTCTTTTGTCTTTTATGCCTTTGTCTGCTTCAGGCCAGAGACAGACACGGGGAACACTCCCAGGAACGTAAAACTTTGGCGCGCCTTATGTGCCACGACACGGCTACGTCCGACAAGTTTTATACCATGGACCTGACCATGGAGCAGGCCAGGAGGGGTCGCCTGTTATTTGAACAGGCACAGAAGGAGGGAGAGGAGAGTGTGACCGGGACAAAGAAGGAGGAAGAAGTTGAGGAGGGAGAGGAGAGTGTGACCGGGACAAAGAAGGAGGAAGAAGTTGAGGAGGGAGAGGAGAGTGTGACCGGGACAAAGAAGGAGGAAGAAGTTGAGGAGGGAGAGGAGGATCAAGATGAGGAGATGCAGGAGGAGGAGGAAGGTGACAGTGACAAGGAGGAGGAGGAGACAGCGGAGGTAGCAACCTCCAGCAAGAACAATTGCACCCCAAGTGTGACCAGGAGCCGGTCTCAGGTAGTCAAAATGTCTGATTTTATTTGAGATTTAAAAACTGTTAAAATAGCACACTATGACAATGTATGAATCCCAATGTGACAAGTTCATTAAAAATTGCTTTTTATTTTGTGTCCCAACAGAAAGGCTGCAGGGTGATGTTGTTCCCGCTTAAGATGAGCCCTCATAAAGCCCTTAGGATGAGCCCTCAGAAAGCCCTTAGGATGAGCCCTCAGAAAGCCCTTAGGATGAGCCCCGAGAAACTCACCCATATAATCCGAGTCCGGCGAAATCGGATGGTTGAACGGAGGAGAAAGTAGTTGTTTTTGAAAATGGAGTAGTTCAATGTTCTGTGTTTTTATATGTGTATTTGACTGTTTTTTATATTGTGAAATGTTCCAAATGTATTTAGTAAAAAAAAGGTTTTAAATTATTCAAATAAGGTCATTTCTGGTCATTTCTTTAGAGTTCTGCTAAGTCCTGGAGACTTCATTTACACACTACAAAGCTTAATAATAATACATTTCATTTATATAGCGCTTTTCACAACTCAAAGACGCTTAGACTGATACCACGCATATAATAAATATTAATGTACAATTTTTGAATTAAGAGACTAGGTTTTTTCTTTTTATTTAGTCAAATCTAAATGTTGGATTTTAAGTATGATAACTCAATGACTGTCCACCGTGACAATACTTACTCTATATATCAAATTCAGTTATTGATTACTCAATGAGCAAAAAAAATAATTATTTACCTTATTATGAATTCACACTGCCGAGGCTGGTCTCGAACCCCGACCTCCCCGATCTTATCACACTGCGACACCCTGTCGCTTAGAGGATAGAGGATAAGAGGATAAGTCTCTTATATCGTAGAGTAACCAAATGTTTCCTAGTCTTTTCCACCATCAAAATGGACAAACGATGCATCGATAGACATCTACAGATCAAGACGAAGCGAACGGAAGTACTCTCAGACTTCTAGCGTGTGAAAAACGTGTGCAAAGTATCCCCAAACGGAGCAGTGTTTAGAGTTAATTTTGGCAGCTTGCATTGAACAGTGCGAGTTGCTTTGTTAATCCTCCGGCCGTTTGTCTCTCAATAAATATCAGTGTATTGACAGGCGAATCCAGTTTCCCTCATTTGATGATTGGCTCAACATTGCTGCAAAGAAGTTTTATCTTCACACTAACTACCCTAAAATACTATAAAACTAACTATACAATAATCAACTTCAAATATGGAGAGTCTGAGAAGACAACTTTCCACATATAATTATCTCTTGACTAAATATAAAAAATGTTGCATGCATGCCATAGCATGGATTCGAACTCGCGACCATCCGCATCAATGAGCAACCCTTATATCACTGCAACTGCACTGCTTAGAATCTGACAGGCTCGTGGTGGGGGAGGGGAATACAATGAAATGGCTCTTAGTACTGTACACACGGTCTCAGGGTCCCCACATTTTGCAAGCGGGTTCCACACAAGTGCAACAACACGCTCGGAGCGCCAAGCACATTTTTTCAATTTATTTCATTTTCTTCCCCTCTGCCACCACAAGCCTGTCAGATGCTAAGCTCCAGACAGCATTATGTGAGAAAGTTTGACATTTTATTGAAAAAAAAGTTCTGGGTGGGTGAAGGTTCCCATATTTCAGATTCTTGATCTATGCCCTATTTAGAGGCCCCCTGTGAAAAAATTATCTCTTTAGCACTTTTCAAAGTACTTCAAACACTCAGCTTCTCAAAAGGCCTTAACGGAAGGTTTTGTTACATTTTAAGCCGTAACCTTTGACATTTAGTTGCACCAGAGGCATCCATCTGCATCTGCTCTCCGAGACGGTTAAAATGACATCAAGCTCAAAGCGGTCGGACCTTCCTTTGTGCCGTAAAGGGCACCGTACGGCTTTAAAACGTGACTTTGGAGCTTTGTTACATTTCAAGCTGTAACCTTTGACATTAGGAGCAGCAGAGGCATCAATCTGCATGTACTTTTCGAGCCGGTTCTAATGAGAGCAACCTCAAACCGGTCGGACCTTCCTTTGTGCCGTAAAGGGCACCGTACAGCATGAAAACGTGACCTCTGACCTCGGTTTTGACCTTGTCCAAGGTCGCAGGGTCCCCAAATTTTGCAAGCGGGTTCCACACACGTTGAGCAACACACTCTCAAAGTTTCAGAGCGCCAACCACATTTTTTCAATTTTTTTCAATTTCCTCCTCTTCCCTCACCACAAGGGTGTCAGATGCTAAGCTCCAGACAGCATTATGTGAGAAAGTTTGGCATTTTATTGAAAAAAAAGTTTTGGGTGGGTTAGGGTTCCCATATTTCAGATTCCTGATCTTAGCCATATTTAGAGGCCCCCTGTGAACAATTATCTCTTTAGCCCTTTTCAAAGTACTTTAAACACTCATGCAGCACTGCAGCTTCTCAAAAGGCCTTAACGGAAGGTTTTGTTACATTTTAAGCCGTAACCTTTGACATTTTGTTGCACCAGAGGCATCCATTTGCATCTGCTCTCCGAGACGGTTAAAATGACATCAAGCTCAAAGCGGTCAGACCTTCCTTTGTGCTGTAAAGGGCACCGTACGGCATGGAAGCGTGACCTTTGACCTTTGGAGCTTTGTTACATTTCAAGCCGTAACCTTTGACATTAGGAGCAGCAAAGGCATTAATCTGCATGTACTTTTCGAGCCGGTTCTAATGAGAGCAAGCTCAAAGCGGTCAGACCTTCCTTTGCACCGTCGAGGGTACTGTCGGCATTGCGAATGTGACCTCTGACCTCGGTTTTGACCTTGTCCGAGGTCGCAGGGTCCCCACATTTTGCAAGCGGGTACCACACAAGTGCAACAACACACTCTTAAAGTTTCGGAGCGCCAACCACATTTTTTCAATTTTTTTCAATTTCCTCCTCTTCCCTCACCACAAGGGTGTCAGATGCTAAGCTCCAGACAGCATTATGTGAGAAAGTTTGACATTTTATTGAAAAAAAAGTTCTGGGTGGGTTAGGGTTCCCATATTTCAGATTCCTGATCTGGGCCCTATTTAGAGGGGCCCTGTGAAAAAATTATCTCTTTAGCCCTTTTCAAAGTACTTTAAACACTCATGCAGCACTGCAGCTTCTCAAAAGGCCTTAACGGAAGGTTTTGTTACATTTTAAGCCGTAACCTTTGACATTTTGTTGCACCAGAGGCATCCATTTGCATCTGCTCTCCGAGACGGTTAAAATGACATCAAGCTCAAAGCGGTCGGACCTTCTTTTGTGCCGTAAAGGGCACAGTACGGCATGAAAACGTGACCTCTGACTTCGGTTTTGACCTTGTCAAAGGTCGCAGGGTCCCCAAATTTTGCAAGCGGGTTCCACACACGTTAACCAACACACTCTCAAGGTTTCGGAGCGCCAACCACATTCTTTCAATTTTTTTCATTTTCTGCCCCTCCCCACCACAAGCCTGTCAGACCCTTAGCTTATGAGAGGATTTTGTGAGAAAGTTTGACATTTAATTGAACAAACATTTCTGGGTGGGTAAGGGTTCCCATATTTCAGATTCCTGAACTGGGCACTATTTAGAAGACCCTGAATAAAAAATTAGGACCCCATATTAGGTTGACGGACACCCCCCCCCATAAGTATAAGTACACAGCAAGTGAATACATGTGTTACTGTGTAATATTTGGTAAGTGGGACCCATATTGGGTTGACGGACCCCCCCCCCCCATAAGTACAAGTACACAGCAAGTGAATACATTGCTGTGTAATATTTGGTAAGTGGGACCCATATTGGGTTGACGGACACCCCCCCACAAATACAAGTACACAGCAAGTGAATACATGTGTTACTGTGTAATATTTGGTAAGTGGGACCCATATTGGGTTGACGGACACCTCCCCCCCCCCTAAGTATAAGTACACAGCAAGTGAATACATGTGTTACTGTGTAATATTTGGTAAGTGGGCCCTCATATTGCCCCCATGCAGTATAAGTACACACTGGTGAAATTGTCCAATGCATGCATACACACTCATATGCTGTGTGAGTACTCATTTAGACTGGCAAGCGACGGTAAAAAGCCGAGTCGGTCCCTCCTCCTGGATATACTGCCCACGAGTCTGTTATCCCAATGGGAAGAATGTCCATGCCGGCAATAGGCGACTTACCATAAATTACAGCACCGCACCACCAATGAGACTACAATACAGGAAGGTGCAAGTGTCAGAGAGTTATCGGACGATAATGACAACATTGTGATGGAGGAGGTGCACGAGGAAATACATTTTGTGTCAGATGTAATCCTTCATCACAATGATGAGACACTGGAACCGTGTGTTGAGGATTCACATGCACAAAACACTGCAAATCACAACATCATTTCAACCACTGCTGACCACAGTTATGTTGCATCTCCCAATAAGCTGAAGCGCAAATTAGGTGTTAAAATAAACCAAATGGGTAAAAAATTGGTAAAATGTCGAAAAAAACGCAAATTAGAAAAACAAAAGACCACACGTTTAAAAATACAAATGAACTGTTTAACTTAGGTTATCAGTGAGCTGAAGCAGAAAATGCTCATCTCAACAGATTGTGCTGGAAGCCTGTTTTAGTGGAGTGCCAAAATAAATACTCATCAGAGTTAAACAGAGGAAAAAGCAAAAAGTGTCAGAGGAATTGCGTTCATTCGCAATGACTCTGCATTTGTATTCCGCTAAAGCTTATGTGCGTGAATGCTTTGACCTTGTTTTGCCACATCACGAAACCATCCGGTCGTGGTACAGCAACATCTCTGCAGATCCTGGATTCACACAACCAGCCTTTTCTGCCATCAAGTCTCGTGTCGAAGAAAGGAAACGTGAGGGAAAGGAAACCTTGTGTGCTCTCATGATGGATGAAGTGTCAATACGTAAGCATGTGGAATATGCTGCTGGGAAATTCCATGGATACGTGGATCTAGGCTGTGGCGTCGTCGATGACAGTTTACCACCAGCCAAAGATGCCTTGGTCCTTATGGTTGTTGCTATTGATGATTCATGGAAGATCCCAGTAGCATACTTCTTAATTGATGGATTGACAAGAGAAGAGCGCGCTAATATCATCAAGGAGTGCCTTCTACAACTCCATGCCATCGGAGCTCGTGTATTGTCATTGACATGTGATGGTCCATCATGCCACTTTGCAATGTTGAGAGCCCTTGGAGCAAACATGGATGTACTTAACATGAAGCCATCATTTCCACATCCAGCTGATCCCTCCGACACAATCCATGCAGTACTTGATGTGTGCCACATGCTCAAGTTAATCCGAAATACATTGGCTG